GCCAACAAAGGTCCGGGTAGTTAAAGCTATGGTTTTCCCAGTAGTGATGTATGGAAGTGAGAGCTGGACCGTAAAGAAGCTAAATATAAATGGTTCACAGAAATATAGCAAGAGGGCAGTAGAAATTAGGCGGCTCTATAAGACGCACCAGACCACAAGACGCACCTAGTTTTTGGAGGAGGAAAACAAGAAAAAAAATATTCTGAATCTCAGAAGCCAGAACAGCAAGAGGGATCGCTGAAAGCAGCAATCCCTCTTGCTGTTCTGGCTTCTGGGATAGCTGCGCAGCCTGCATCCGCTCCATAAGACGCACACACATTTCCCCTTACTTTTTAGGAGGGAAAAAGTGAGTCTTATAGAGCAAAAAATACGGTAGATCTAGGTAAAATAGTTTGAAAAGCAATGACAAACTTAGACAGCATCTTAAAAAGTAGAGACATCACCTTGCCAACAAAGGTCCGTATAGTAAAAGCTATGGTTTTCCCAGTAGTGATGTATGGAAGTGAAAGCTGGACCATAAAGAAGGCTGATCGCCGAAGAATTGATGCTTTTGAATTATGGTGCTGGAGGAGACTCCTGAGAGTCCCATGGACTGCAAGAAGATCCAACCTATCCATTCTTAAGGAAATCAGCCCTGAGTGTTCACTGGAAGGACAGATCGTGAAGCTGAGGCTCCAATACTTTGGCCACCTCATGAGAAGAGAAGACTCCCTGGAAAAGACCCTGATGTTGGGAAAGATGGAGGGCACAAGGAGAAGGGGACGACAGAGGACGAGATGGTTGGACAGTGTTCTTGAAGCTACCAGCATGAGTTTGACCAAACTGCGGGAGGCAGTGGAAGACAGGAGTGCCTGGCGTGCTCTGGTCCATGGGGTCACGAAGAATCGGACACGACTAAACGACTAAACAACAACAACAACTGAACTTATTTTAAAATCATGTGTAATGCTGATTATCGAGTGGAATAACTTACCTCTGGTATTTTTAAATCTTAATTAAATGACGTAAAACAGTGTTGGAACACTTTTACATTTCACGTACTTTTTTAGTTGGCTGTGCTAAAAACACACCTACTCTCGTCGAACACCAATGGCTAACCAGCAGGCGGTGCAGTCGCAACCGTTGTACTCACACATGTATAGACACATTTTAGGGATGTCGCAACATGAATAACATTTATCGATATTGAAATATTGTTGGTGTATCAATGTGCCCCGTGCATCAATGTGCCCCGCTTCCCCCCTACCTCCAGTATCTGGTTCGGTCTCCTGTTCTTGCAGTGGCCAACCAGGTGTCTATGGGAAGCCCAGAAGAAGGCCCAGCAACACTCTCCCACGGTTGTTCCCCAATGACTGGTGTTCAGGGCATCCTGTCTATTCACTCAGTTTGGAGAGATCCTGCCAGAGTGCCTCGCAATCATTTTTTCTTTTCACTACCCTGAACAGTCTGGTGTTATCAGCAAACTTGGGATTCAGCTATACAGCTGCAAATAAAACATTTTAAGTGCAATATACAATGTGACCCTAGATAGCAATGGTGAGCCTTGTGGAAAATTCAATGTATTTTTTAAAAACGCTTTTAAAAAAGCATTTTCAGAATGGTTATTATATGTGTGTAGATTCCACCTATGTCATCTCATTATTCATTTCTAGCTCCAGTTCATTCAACATGAACAAGTTAAAAAGCACATGCCCAAATACAGAGCTTCAAGGCTGAGTGGGGATTTGAATCCTCTCACTAACCACTACGTGGAATTGGCAAGTAGTAACAGTGACAAGATACATAAAACAGATCCGCAAGCTGAAATGCAGACATGAGCCAGTCTGAATTTTTCTGTGGTATACTTAGAAGCATTTCTGGAACTTTTGCCTTGGAACCAAGCCAGTTTTGGGTAAACAAGCCCAACCGCAAGAGAAATACTTCATGTTGATATTGTGGTCAGGAATGTTTGACTGCTAAATTGTTCTGGATTTAGGTTTTGATTTTAATCACTAAGTAAGAGGGATGAGAGAGTAGAGGGCGAGGAATGAGAGAGTCCCCAGATGTTGTTGAACTACAACTCCCATCACCCCTAACTAGCAATGCCAGAGCTCAGGGATGATGGGAGTTGTAGTCCGACAACATATGGGGACCCAAAGTTGAGAAACACCAAGTTAAATGATTCCCCCTCATCTTAACAAAATTAACAAATTTAGCAAAAATCATGGGAAGAGATGTGACTCCTAAGGAGAGCATGTGAAACTATTTCATGGGGGCGGGGGGAGAAGCATCCTCTTTGCAAAAATATAAACAACTCAAAGAAGTGCAACATATTAAGTGCTTCCAAACATTCCTTCAAAAATCTGGAATCTAAAATGTCAGTTGTGATGCCAAGGACAGCGTACATGATTAAATTACTTACAGGGGCAGGGTGACTATTAACTGTTTAATTGGTTCTGTTTGGAAAGATTAGAGCGATCTGAAAAGCAAATGAAAGACCAGCATTGTCAAAGATAAAATGGCCATTGTACTGTAGTTATTTAAAACCCGATGCTAGTTCTACGTTTGTTGTAAACTGGCATAAGTGCAGCCCATGTCATGTATTGCCTCTACACATACATATTACTTAAGTGGAGAATTGCATTGCAAAATTTGGAGAATTTTGAAAGATGGCTTTGTTTTAGTTCTTCTATTGTTTCACAAAGTATGAACTAGTTTTTAAATGTGAAATGAATTGAATTTCCCTTCCGTCGCTAATTAGGATTCTCATGAAAGAGTTTTGAATATACCGTGCTTTAATTAGGGTTGCCATATTTCTAGAAGGAAACACAAAAGTTGTTGAGCTTTTTGGCAGGAAATCACCTAAAACGTTGTTGAGATGGTTATTTTTAAAATATCCCCCGGATACTATTTTCACCATTTGAATCTCAGGACGTATGGCAAGCCTATTTTAATGCAAAAACATATTATGAACGAATACAGATCTAAAAGCACTAACAGCAGAAATTTCAAAGCTTTAATTTTTGCATCTTCCCTTCATTCTACAATTGACTGTGGATTGGAGCTCAGTTCATTCTGTCAAATAGGAATTCCTGTCTGACAAGCTATTTATCACAGGCTTCGTAGATTGGGATAACCTTCTGGCATATTCTGGTTCTTTTCCCACAACAGTCAGAAAGCTGATTTCACCCTTATCTCTTTTTAAACACGTGCAGCTGGAGATGATGCAGAACAGAAGCAGGATGCCTTGGGATGTTGGGAAAGAGCCATTAGAAGGTTCTCTGATGATGTTATCTTTGGAGGCATTTCCTCCAAGCATTTGACAGAACAGCTCTTTCACCTTTCCAAGCATGCTGTTCATCAGGACTAAGGTGGAAATCTTATGCACACTTCTCTGGAAGTAAGCTCCATTGAATACATTAATACTTACTGTAATTTGATAACCATAGTATCTACCATTTAGCTAGGACATGAGTGAACTTCATATCAAATCATATCTGATTGCATTTATTAAACCGTTTGGATTTTTTTCTTTTTCTTTTTGAATCCATGTCACTTTGTTATGAAAATCCCAGCCCATACTTCTTTTTTATATTTCATTTGGATTTTTTCCTCACTACAGAAAATGCAGTAAGTAAGAATAACCCATTTTCTATCAGTAGTCACTGCTGGGTGGAAGCTCTTTAGATGTCAAGGCAATAAACAACTATTTTGCTTTTAAAAGACAACTGTAGGCAGCCCTGTTTAGGGAAGTTTTTAATGTCTGGTGCTGTATTGTTTTTAATATTCAGTTGGAAGCCGCCCAGAGTGGCTGGGGAAACCCAGCCAGATGGGCGGGGTATAAATAATAAATTGTTGTTGTTGTTGTTGTTAGTGCTCTGTGAATGTGCGGTTTTTCACATGTCAGTGGGTGGCCTCTTAACACCATTCGTCTACTTCCCACTTTTTAAAAGAATAGGACGTTTTGTGGTTTGCAAAGTGATGGGAAAATGCACCGGAAAGCGTGGGATGAACAAATGGCTAATGGTAAGCGAATAATTGTTATATAGCTGCCTCACAAATGATTCAGAACGAATGTTCAGTAGAGACTGGATATAATCTAACCTGCATAGGATTTGTGCAAGCAAATCAGGATGAATGCTCACTAACCAGGTCATCTGGAGGGACCCTAAACACCAGTTGATGGGGAGCACAAATGGGAAACAGTGCTTTCGCACCCAGGTCCTGCTTTCTGGGCTTCCCAGAGGCATGTGGTTAGTCACTGTGGTAACAGGATGCTGGACTAGATGGGCCTTAATAGATAGATTATTCAAGGTGTTTCTTATGACTGCCAATAGTTTAACGAAAGCAACAATGAACACCCCCCCTTTTCTAAAGCAGGTTGCATGATACGAAGGGTGTTTAAGGGAGAAAAGAAGAGTGGATTTTTGTCTTAAACGCCATTCTGGGGCTGAAAACTATTTTCTCAGCTTGAACATGTTCTTTAGAGGCACACTGTTCTTTAACTGGGTATCCCCTATACACCATGAGCCACTATTTAGCATCTGGCAGGGATGGTTGGATCTCAGGACTCTCAACATATTATGTACAAGCAATAACAGAAAGGAGATTGTAACTAAGGAGTGTAACCACACACAAAAAAGTGTTGACTTCCTTTTGGTCTAAGATCTTTAACAGTACTGGAGACCTACAGGACCAATTCTCCTGATATGTCCCACGGAGGACCTTACGTGCTTGCAAATAACATCCTGAAGATTCTGGACCCCAGGGAAATTAGACTGGCCTCGATCAGAGCCAGGGCCTTTTCAGCCATGGCCCCAGCCTGGTGGAACGCTCTCTCACAAGAGACCAGGGCCCTGCGAAATTTGACATCCTTCCGCAGGGACTGCACGACGGAGCTGTTCCGCCAGGCCTTTGGTCAGGGTTCAGTCTGACTCATTTTCTCTTTGTATAAGAACAAGCACGAAGGAGGTTTCCCAGCCCGCTCACAGGTCCTTATAATATCAGTGGAAACAGTTGGTCCTGGCGAGTATTAATTGTTATGTATTGAAGTTCTGACCCTGGCCACCAGGAGTATCGTGCATATAGTTTTCACTCAAGTCCACGTCAGTTACTTTAGGTGGGAAACCCTGGGTTGTTGTTGCTACAATGTTGACACCCAGCTGCCTATAAAAGCAGGCCGGCTGAGCTGTTTGCTGTTCAGTTCAGTTCTGTTCTGGCCTGTGAATAAACAAGAGCTGTTTGAAGAATCGCTGTGTCATCTGATATGTTCACCCACAACTTAACATTAATCACTTTCAATTTTAACCTGAGGATTGTCATTTGTCCCGTTTTAACTTTAACTTTAATTTATTTTAATTAATTTTGGGATGCATTTTAATCGACTGATTGCTTGTTTTTATATTGCATATTGTATTATTTATATGATGCTAGCCACTCTGAGCCCAGCTCCGGATGAGGAGGGAAGGGTACAAATAAATTATTATTATTATTATTATTATTATTATTATTATTTACTGAGCTGCACATATTTCTGAATTACATTCCAGTCATATGGCAGTTATCTGGTGAACAGCACAAATGGCTGCTGCAAGCTTATGATGGTATAAAGGGTACTTACTGGCGAATGAATGTTTATTATGGAATCGCCACTGTTCCTGCATGCAAAGGTGTTGGTTTGTTTGTTTGTTGCAGCACCCACACATTTTGCTAGCCCAAACTTCTCCAACCAGATTTAATCCGGATTTACCATTTCTGTGGGAAATCCAAAAAGGAAAACTGTTGCCAGAGACCAGCATGAAATATCTTAACAAACTGCTTGCAAATTGAGGCCACTATTTTAGTGGCTTATGAAACATTTGACAACACAAACACACTTTTATATCATAAAAGTTGTTAACAAATTTTGGACACACTTTGGGCGGAGATCAGTTCAAAGGTTTCTGTACCTCCAGGGGAACAAGCCACCGGGCATCGCATTACAAGTGAGCAGAAATGTGAAAGCAACTTTTTATCTATCTATTTTAAATTTTATTTATTTGGTTTTCCAGATTAAAATTTTACTTTGCTTTTGAGCAACACTGGCTGAAGCTAAGGAGCAACTGCAGAAATAACATTAAGCCTTGTTAACAGAGAAATCTGAGGGCTCCATTGGACAAAAAACAAGGCACCAGCCAGGAATACCAGAGCAAAACAGCAGCCAGTAGGCTTGGTCTTTATTGAAGACTATCATGACAGGACTCCCACCTGCCACAAGGTGGAACAAGATGGAAGCCCCGAACAAAAGAGCACCCAAACTCTATTAGCTGCTAATCCCCGTATTACATTCCCCCCAAACTACATCATGGTTACATCTTGAAAGGAGAGGTCTGGTGGCAGTAATCTGAGCATCCTGGACCCTGCCCCAGGGTTCTCCTTGCCCTCCACCAAGCACCCATCAAGTGTAACAAAAGAGATATTTACATTTCCCTGTTTCCCAGCCAAGTTAATCACACCCTTTTGTCTTCATCTGGGTTTGTTATTTCTGGAATGGCTACCTGTCTGGCACTCAAGTATCCGGATGCCAGGAATTATCCCCCAGGCAGAGGGGCTGCTGAGTAGCTGAGCTCACATGTCTATATGAATTTCTGAAGTTTTCCCAGTGAGCCAGTACATAGATACATTTATCAGTGAATTCTTACATTTAGTATTGTGCAGCAAAGGCCCTTTGAGTAGATAGGAAGAAATTGTGATGAAGTGTTTTGTGGGGACAAATCACAAGTCACAAAAGTGATTGTGCTGATTTTTGTAGCATGTGCATGATATCTGCTGGAGGCGCACCCCCCCCCCCCAATTCATAAATTCCTGCAACAGTCTGCAGAGCAAGGCAGATACCCTGGTCCTGGGTAACGCCATCCTTCAGGCGCAGCCCATCCACCAAGCAAGCTCTAAAGAGGCTGTTGCCAAGGCAACCGTTCGCACCAACGACGGCTAGTCCCATTGAAGATAGGCGAGGGGGGAAGGACCCTTCTCCTCCGTCCCACCCCCTCGAAGAGACCAAGTTCTCTAATAGGCCAACCGCTGACAATAAACGCTTGTCCTTTAAAAACGTTATAGCCAATCAGCGTCGCTCATGGTGACTGCGTCACCGCCAACCCTGCTGCACATCCCTCCTCTCTTGTTTTTTCTTTTCTGTTTTTGTTTTTTCCCCTTTTCCGGCCTCGCGACAGGCTGGGCCTCGCCTCTCCATTGGTCGGCTGCTCAGACCCCACCCCCGATGATCGGGCCTGCGGCGCCCGGCCAATCAGCGCGGCCCGGAAGGGTGGCGGCGGCGACCACAGAGCCAACAACAACAACGGCGGCGGCAGAAGTGGCTGAGGCGGCACCAGGCCCGGGGAGGAAGGCGACGGAGTGAGGCGGAAGCGTCCACGCGGGGGAAAGCAGAGAGCGGAGGGGCTGCGTTGCCGCCATGGGGGCCGTGCTAGGGGTTTGTTCCTTGGCCAGCTGGGTAAGTACCTGAGGGGAGAAGGTCGGGTAGGCCCCGCCGGGAGGCGGCTTCCGGACTGAGGGAAGTAGGCCGCGTCGTTCCCCATCCCCTGTTTCCGACCTCCGGTGGGTGTCAGGGTTGCCGCCGTTTCCCACGGAGGCTGAGGGGGCGGCCTCGACAGACGTTCCCAGGTGCCTTTTGCGGCTCTGGGGTTCAAAGCGAAGCCTCCATGTCTAGGAGCACTATATCTCTATAAATACCGCGACAAATAACTCGTTGTCCAGGTTTGGGGCCTCTCAAGAGCCCTTGCCTGATGGCTGCTGGACCTAAACGGACCTTGATGCCACATTCCGATGCCCGTTTTATTCGCGAGTAAGCCCACTCAAGCTCACCGAGGCTTGCTTCTGTGTAGATATGCTTTCGTTTCGCCCGAACCAGGCCGATCCAGTTTCGTTTGTATAATCGTGTCTTTCTTCGCTTCAGATTTATTTATTTGAATTTGTATACCGCTCTTGCTCCAAAGGGATGCGGGTGGCGCTGTGGGTTAAACCACAGAGCCTAGGACTTGCCGACCTTTCGGCGGTTCGAATCCCCACGACGGCGTGAGGTCCAATTGCTCGGTCCCTGCTCGTGCCAACCTAGCAGTTCGAAAGCACATCAAGGTGCAAGTAGATAAATAGGTACCACTCCGGCAGGAAGGTGAACGGCGTTTCCGTGTGCTGCTCTGGTTCGCCAGAAGCGGCTTAGACATGCTGGCCACATGACCTGGAAGTTGTCTGTGGACAAACGCGGCTCCCTCGGCCAATAAAGCAAGATGAGCGCCGCAACCCCAGAGTCGTCCGCGACTGGACCTAATGGTCAGGGGTCCCTTTACCTTTAAGCACCACTCAAGCTCACTGAGTCTTGCTTCTGTATAGATATGCTTTCGTTTCTCCCTGTTAGGCCGATCCAGTTTCGTTTGTATAATCGTTCCTTTCTTCACATCAGGTTTATTTATTTATTTGGATTTGTATACCACTCTTCCTCCAAAGATGGTGGTTCGCAACATAAAGATACACAGTTCAGCACACAAAATACATAATAATAAGAAAAACAAACCAGTAACACTTCCCCCTCCCACCAACACATTTATAAGGCCATGTAGAATGTTGGTCAGCCTAAAGATATCGTGAAGGCGCCAGGCAAGCCTCCCTTCAGAGAGTATTCCATAAAGGGGGTGGGGAGCCGTCCTATTCTTATATTGCCACGCTCCAGAACTCTTGTGGTAAAAAAGGTCTCAGATGATGATCACAAGATCCAGGGCGTTTTGCAATACTGGGCTTCCCCAGTATTACAAAAATGAATGAAAACTAGTAATGGCAGGTTAACATCAAATCGGAAACAGGATGGGGTATTTGGATCTTCACTCTTGTAATATGGCAGTGGTTCTCAAACTTCTTTTTTGTGGGATACTTTAGAATTGCTTTTTTGGCATATGTTTAATATTTCTTATCTATAGCTTTAAAAAGAATAATTCTGGAAGTGGTTGCTGTCCTAAACATTGGATTTTTTGGGGGGGGGGCTGTGTTTTTTTAAATTATTTTTGCCTACTGTTTGTCTTTATGGCAAGGAAGGCGAGTTCGTTTGGACTGTGGTTCTCTTTCCTCTCTTCGCCAAGACCTGTGATTTCATCTCTAGGAATGATGTTAGTTCCTAATCCAGGAAGTGCTGGCTGAGTCACAGCCTTCTCAGCACGTTGACAGCTAACATTTATCCATGAGCTTTTTCCTGTGTAAGCAGGTATTACAAATCCAGTATTAGGTGACTGTCCTTTTTTATCAACTTTCTTGGTCTGGCCCCATTTGGCTGTTTTGGATGGGTTTAGTAGATCAGCCTAAATTTTTATTAAAATTTTTTTGGGGGGAACTAGGATCTCTACAAGCACAACTGTGGTATGTTCAAATACAGAAGGTGTGTTCATCTGCAGTAGCACTGAGGCAATTAGAATAAGCAAGCTTAATTCAGATTAAGTGATGGTAAATAGGCAACATCTCTTTAAATAAGGGAGAGCTGTCATAGCCAATTGAACAAGGGATGATTTCATATTTTTTGTCATTAGAGAGGGCATGAAGCTTAACATTGCAGCTGTAACTCCCTCCAAAGTGCATCCAAATATTAAGACTTTTTATTACATAAAAGTAAGCTTTTTTGTGCTGCCAATTTATCAAACGTTTCATAATTCACTGAAATGATGGCATCCATTTGCAAAGCAGTTCCTTGCGCTTGAAAGAACAGAAAGTTGTACGGAGATATTCCTCAGCGTTTCCATGACCTCTCAGAGTAGTGTAGAAATGAGTTACCCTCGCCGCCACCAGTTTGAGTTGCCTATTTTTCTTTTTCCAGTAGTAGTTTGGAGTTAGTCCCTATCAAGAGAGAGTTATGTGCATAAATGCAAGGTATTGTGTTCCTTTGTTTTCAGGCATGAGTAAATGGAGTGTGCAGTGTGTGTGTGTGTGTGTGTGCATGCATGAACCTGAGGCATGAGTCGTGGGCATGTGCAACTAACAATAAACATGCAGTACAATAGTTTTACAGCATCCACTTCATTGACTCTTAAAGTGGCTGCTAGGATATTCCAATGTACCTGTGAGAACTGATAACATGCCACTAGAAATAAGTTTACTCAAAAGCTGCTGTAAGATGAAGGCACTCATCTGTTCAGGTGGCAACCCATAGTGTATCTGCATGGTTCACTGGTCTGCCTTTGCTTATTTCCAGCCAGCTTTCCACTAGGAGTAGAATTAGCAATAAAATATATGTTAAGCAGCACATTCAAGAATAAAACAAGATGGATAAACTATAATCAACAATTTAAATTGGAACTAGCTGTTGCTTTTTTCCTCTTAAATCAGCCAAAAAGGCTGCCAGACATTGACTGCTCTTTTTATGAAACATGAGGCTTAAAGCGCTTGTTTGTGGATGTACCAGTTTGAGTTTTCTTTATTTTCTTGTGACTGCACAGATATATAACTTGTTATAAAATATTTTAAAATATTTCAATTTTATTTTTGTATGGCTCTAAGAGTTTTCTACAAATCATCTAGTTAAGGGGTGCTCCTTGATCCAGTGTGCAGATGGGGTCAGTAGCAAAGGGCACCATTTTTTAGCTCTGGCTGGTTCCCCAACTACAACGCTACCTGACAAAGCTACAGTTTGAAAAGCCATTTTAAATTTAGAGAATGGTTTATCCGTAGAGAAATAGCACAAACCATTCTGAAAATCTGTCAGCCATTAAGGAACATGTTGTGGTTTATGATTATTTTACGTACACAATTTGGACATGGTGCTAAACCATATACTCTTTCTCTTTCTAAAAACTAACTAGACTGGTTTATAAGGTGGTGATAGATTCATGGTGGTGATAGATTGATAGATTTAGTGGGACGCAGGTGGCTCTGTGGTCTAAACCACCAAACCTCTTGGACTTGCGGATCGGAAAGTTGGCAGTTCAAATCCCCATGACAGGGTGAGCTACCTTTGCTCTGTCCCAGCTCCTGCCAACCTAGCAGTTTGAAAGCACTCCAGTGCAAGTATATAAATAGGTACCACTGTGGTGGGAAGGTAAGTGGCATTTCCGTTGCGCCAGAAGCGGTTTCGTCATGCTAGCCACATGACCCGGAAAGCTGTCTGTGGTCAAACACCGGCTCCCTGGGCCTGAAAGTGAGATGAGGGCCACAACCACATAGTTGCCTTTAACTGGGCTTAACTGTCCAGGGGTCCTTTACCTTTTAGATTCATGTGACTCTATACACAGTATGTACTTTGTATGTAGGAGTTAACACGTAAGATAATATTTTCATTTCCATTCTACAGATACCATGTCTATGCAGCGGTGCATCATGTTTGCTGTGTCGCTGTTGTCCCAACAGCAAGAACTCCACGGTGACTCGACTTATTTATGCCTTCTTGCTTCTACTAAGTACTATTGTTGCTTGTATCATGCTGGCACCAGGAATGGAAATGCAGCTGAAAAAGGTACTGAGACTTTTTGCGACGTGTGTTTGTAACACAAGTCACGGTGCACAGATTCACCTACATATCATATGGCATGCAACAGAGACTGAAATAAGAGATGATAGTATTTTCATTAGACTCTTGCTGTAAGAAGGGAAGGGCAAGTGGATTGTTTGACTGGACTCATATTCCAGTGTCCTATCTCAGCTAATATCGGAAGAATGTTCCATGTATAAGCTGAAGATCTTTAGATTTATTTTGCTAAGCTTCAGTTAGCCGCCTTATGCAATCTTCAAATGCTATTTCACTAGGATTCTCTGGTTTGCTGCAATAGTAGTCTTTCCCTGCTTAGGTGTGTACCTCTTTTGCATGTTGGTGGTTGGGGCCCTGGGGCCTTCAGCTGATCCTACTTTATTCTGTTCAATTAAAGATGAGTTTGTGTTATGTCACTGCATTAAAATCATACGAGTTGGAATGGTCACCTAGTCCAACACCTTGCAATGCAGGAATCCCAACTAAAGCATCCATGACTGATGGACATCCAACCTCTGTTTTAAAACCTTCACTGAAGGAGAGTCCACAACCTCCTGAGGGGTTATGAAACTTATAGTCTGTCTGCCATAACACAGGGTGATTTAAGTATAGTTTGTAGGCTTTATGAAGCCCCAAAATACTATAAAGTAGGCCACCCATTTGGTAATGCAAAGAGAACATCAGCTTTCATTTTTCATCAGCATTTCAAATCTTGTTGAGCAATGGAAGCATATGCCGAAAGTTCAGTAAAATGGTGTGTTGTTATTATTTTGTAAGGTGCCTTCAAGGTCTGCTTCAGCTGAGAAAAATCTTGGGATTTGTTGCTCTCTTCTTTCAGGTGCCTGGATTTTGTGATAAGGTGGTTCACTGTGAAGAATTGGTTGGATACAGAGCAGTCTACCGAGTCAGTTTTGCCATGGCGGTGTTTTTCTTTCTCTTCTCACTAATCATGATACAAGTGAAATCAAGTAAAGATCCAAGGGCTTCTGTACATAATGGGTAGGTTGGGAATGTGGACTGGTCTCTTCTTTCCTCTGCCCATAGCATTAAACTCATAAGCACAGAAAATGGCCAAGTGAATATGTTCATGTTTTACTGAGTGGGAGCTAGTGCCCCCGTGAGGCAAAATAGAGGTATAACCAGTAGCTTCTACTTTAAAAAAAGATACTCATAGACTAACAGCAAAGTCCAGTTAAATATATTCTAGCATTTGTGGGGCAGGGTGAGCTTTATGTTCACTGGATACTAGGCATTAAGTGGGCAGCTTTGATGGGGCTTCCCTTTGAGATGTTAACCTAGCACTTCCATTTGGGGCTCATCAGTCCTTGGCTCCTGGGTGCTTCCCCATTCTCCTGAGATGGAGCAGGCAGGCCTTGGTGGAGATCTGGGACCATGTTCTCACCCCTAGGTTAGGGTCTCTAGGAAGGGATCACCAGGGGGTTATTTACCAGGAGCAGGTGAAACGTACAGTGTCTAAAAAGACAATATGTCATGAATATCTTGAAGTAGACATGGGGCTTCCTTTTAGCTAAGTGAGATTAAGATTGCAACCCAAGTAACTATGCAGGCATATACGTGACCACCTATCTTTATATTACTTTGGCACACCCCTTAAAGGTGCTTGACTTTGTTAGCTTAAGAGAAATTATTCTAATCAGTGTTCTGTTTTTTTTAAAAACAGGTTTTGGTTCTTCAAAATAGCTGCCATTGTTGGCATCATGGTTGGAGCATTTTACATTCCAGAAGGACCTTTCACAACAGGCAAGCATTGATGGATGAGGAAATAGAATTTCCCTTAGCTGTTGCTATTAAGTGAAGCATTTGGTATTCAATAAAGTGTCTTATTAAGCGTTGATTCAGTTGTGCTCATGCCTCGGGGGGGGGGGTGACATATGAATTCCTTAGAGTAGTCGCAACTATGGCGACAGCTCGTATTTTACTGAACTGTTCTTTTTAAAAGAATTGGGTTCATGAAGAGCTGGAGCTTATTAAATGTAAAAGTTTTTAGGAGCATATACGTTTGCCCACTCACTTAGCAGATAAAGTGCTGGATTCACCTAATGAGCTCTGTAAGCCGAAGTTTACACAACAGGACTTTCCTCCTTTTGCCCTGTGTACCCCTGTTACCCAAAAGTGACTTGGGGGGGGGGGTCAGGAGAACACCAAGAATAGTGTACAGAGGACAGAAAGCGGGGATGGTTCTGTCTGGTAAGCTGAAATGCTTGTGGGGAGGAAACATTCATCATAGCAAGATGCTGAATTCTACCCAAAGGCTCTATAACTTCCTTTAAATATATCTAGCCAGAGGTTGTCAAAAGTTAAGAGGTTGATTATAACATTCTCCTTTTCTTTCTAGCATTGTTTGCTATTGGCACTTGTGGCGCCTTCTGCTTCATTTTAATCCAGCTGGTACTGCTTGTTGATTTTGCGCACTCCTGGAATGAATCCTGGGTTGAACGAATGGAAGAAGGAAACTCAAAATGCTGGTATGCTGGTAAGTGCTGTTTAACTAGTGAGTAGCAAAAATCAGCAAGAGGCAAGAAGTTTAGTATGAAACTCTGTGTTTATTGGCCAGTGTGTCAGCATTGTTGATAAAAGAAGTTCGGGCCCAGTGAAAGAAATGGGATCCACACAACATCTGCTAAACATTGTTGCTTAAATGCTATCACTGTAGCAAGGTGTGTGTGGGGTGTTGCATAAGAAGTTGTGACATTCGGAATGAAGGATATGTCATTTAAATCTTAACTTTGCCAACGTCTTGCCTGCCTCTGAGCAAACCAGGTAGCCGCTCTTCTTTCATTACGGAGGAAATACGTGAGATGTTGGTGTGATTGTATAGCACTTTTGAATACTAAATGTGTTTATTAGTAAAAAGTTGTGAAGGCAGCCATATAAGCTAAGAAAATGCTTTATAACTAATTTGTGGTATTATATTATGCAAGCCCTGCGGAATGTCAGTATTTCCCATGGAGGAGAGGGATAATATTTTCCTATTTGAAACAGAGTCTTAATCGGTGTTCTGATAATCTTTTGAAAAACTGCATTGTAATTTAACAATTGAACGTTGAAATGTGCTTTTCCTTTAGCTCTGTTGGCATGTACTGGCCTTTTCTACACCCTGTCCTTTATTGCCGTTGTGCTCTTCTATGTCTTCTACACAAAACCTGATGCCTGTACTGAGAACAAGTTTTTCATCAGTTTTAATATGCTTGTCTGCATTGCTGTGTCAATCACATCAGTCCTTCCAAAAGTCCAGGTATGATGAATTCTGCATTGGATTATTCTGAGGGATATAGGTTAGGATGACTTATTCGGGCTTGTATAAATATCCTTAGTTAGATGTGGTTTTTATCTTGCAAACACTCAGGAGGAGTAGGTGAGTGTGTGGAGCAAAACAGACTATAAACCCTTTGGTAAAGCTGTATAACACTTGCTGATATTGCTGGAGGGAATGGTGGTCATGTAATGTACTGTTTTGGTGCCACTGAACTACAACTAGTTGAGGATCAGTATAATGTTTAGCTGATTGCATTGAGACGCAACATGACAGCAGACATTTTATTCGAGGGCTGGGGAACACAACTAGCAAGATTGCATAGTCATTCATAGAAGAGTTGCTTGCAAGAAACAGTTTTGGATATTGAAAGAATAGTTTGGAGGCTGTACTAAAATACATGAAATAATATATGTGGGTAGGGGTGGCATGAGAAAAGTAACTCTTGCCCATGGAAACTGAAATATTTCTCATCAGTTCCCCAAGTAGTTCTTGTGCCTCTACTCATGCTTCATATTCCCCTCTGTACAGAAGCCTTAAGTTGTAGTGAAAGTGAAAGTGAAATCTTTCCAGTCAAGGCTAACCAACATGGAGTTAAACAAAAAAGCAATCTACATGGTTCAGGTACAGTTATATAAAATTTGCTTGTCTCAAACAGGAACACCAGCCTCGTTCTGGCCTTCTCCAGTCTTCTATCATTACTCTCTACACGATGTACCTCACTTGGTCAGCCATGTCCAATGAGCCTGGTAAGCTTTCATAAGTGCAGATAATTGTGCCTTCAAAACAATAATGGTAGTGGAGACAGTTGCGAAGGAATAAAAATATACTGAATCTTTGAGTGTATTAGGAATTGGAACCCTGCAGGTTTCTAAGAGATGCAGTTTGGTTAAGTATGAAGGCAATAAATAATCTCTTGTCCGGCTACTTCACATCTGGAAATCATATATACTTTGTGAGTTCATGATGGGGGAAGAATTAGATCGAATTCCAAGTTTTTTGTAGAGCATTTTCACTATGACAGGCAAAGAGATTCTGGGTTTATTACTAGGCTATAAACTCTCCTGAGAGTGAGCACTATTTTATAAATCTGTGGAATTTATTTTCCAGAACGCATCTGTAACCCAAGTCTTCTGAACATCATCAGCCAGATAGCTGCTCCTACTTCCATCCCAGCAAATGTAACTGCTGTTGTACCTGTTGTTCCTACACCTGGACCACAAAAGCTGCAGTGGTGGGATGCACAGAGCGTTGTTGGACTTACAGTCTTCGTACTTTGTCTCTTGTATTCCAGGTAACATTTGATCTCTGTAGTTCCAAACCTTAAGGCAGATTCTTGAGAATCACATCTTAGGTTTAGGCGTAATGAACAGGTAGCTGCTGTGTTTTGAATCAAGGTAAACATTAACTAGACTTCAACTGTAACGGAATTCCATGAATTTTTATCTCTTCCCATCATGGCTGGTGGTCAAGAAAGTTGGGAGTTGTAGTCCATCCATTTCTAAAGGGTCATAGTTTTCCCACCTGTTCTAAGGATTTTTAATGTATTTTTTACACTTGTAATTCATTCCTCCTCCCAGAGTTGAAAGCAGCGGTCTCGTTTCCAATCAGCTTACGTAGCCAGGTCTACTTAGCATCTGTGGTAGAATTGCATTACATACTTATAGACTCAGGTGTTCTTGGGCACTTTGAATAAGGCTAAACAATTTACTGGTAGATTTCAACTTTCTTATTCAATCTGAAACATTTAACACCCTCTTCCTTGAACTGTTTTGCAGTATCCGATCTTCCAACAACAGTCAAGTGAACAAACTGACTCTGTCGACAAGTGACAGCGTCATTTTGGATGATACTACCGGAACTGGTAGCGATGTAGAAGATGGAGAAATTCGCCGGGTCCCGGATAATGAAAAGGATGGTGTCCAGTACAGTTATGCCTTCTTCCACTTCATGCTGTTCCTTGCCTCCCTGTATATCATGATGACTCTTACTAATTGGTACAGGTAAGAATAGCCTAGTGGAGATTTAATCAGATAGTATAATATTTTTGCTGACAAGTACAGTGAGATTATCATAATCTCAAATATTAACTACTATTTTTAAATTTACTTTCTTAAAAAATGGGAACCTAGGAATTTGCCTTATACCAAGTTGGACATTAGTCCATGTTGCTCAGTATTGTGCACACTGACTGGCAGCATCTTGCCAGGCTTTCAGATTGTCTTTCCCAGCCTTGCCTAGAGATGCAAGGGAAACTCTCTGATCTTCCACAATTACTGAATAGTAGTATTCTTTGACTGCTTTAATGCCAAGAGCTTTACATGCATTCTCTGTAATCTTGCGACAGCTTTATAATGAAAGTCAGTTACTTCCATGTGTGTGTGGCTTACCTAAAGTCACCCTGTGAGTGAAGCCAGAAGCTTCCAGCTCATAACGTGTGCTTTAATATGCTGCTTCTAGTTGTGTATCAAAATTGTAGGACTTGCATCTCTATAAAGTAGGATAGGTACTTCGTGTATCTGAGCCCTTTTTATTGTTCATAGTTAAAGATGGTTATCTGACTGTAATGAATTCTTAAGTATCTAATGAAGTATATTAGTAGTCTCGTTTCCCAGCCTTGCTGATTGTTGGAATTAAAAGAATTATCACTGTCTCTAGAATTCCTGAGTGTACAATAGGTATGTGCATAGCCAAATTAAGTTTGAAATCAAGGTAGTGGCGTAGTACCTGCTTCAGTCTGTATGACATATCTTGTCATACAGCTGAATCTATTTTTGTTTTTCCTGTTAAGCCACTAATATTCCAGCTCTGACTATTAACTCATTAAGCTAGATACAGTGGTGCCCCGCAAGACGAATGCCTCGCAAGACGGAAAACCCGCTAGACGAAAGGGTTTTCCGTTTTTGAGTTGCTTCGCAGGAAGAATTTCCCTATGGGCTTGCTTCGCAAGACGAAAATGTCTTGCGAGTCGTGAGATTTTTTTTTCGCTCCCCCCCTTTTATCTAAGCCGCTAAGCCTTTAATAGCCTTTTAGCAGCTAATCCGCTAAGATGATAAGCCTTTAATAGCCGCTAAACCGCTAATAGCGCTAATCCGTTAAGCCGCTAATAGGGTTGCTTCACAAGACCAAAAAACCGCTAGAGAAGACACTCGCGGAACGGATTAATTTCGTCTTGCGAGGCACCACTGTAGTTCTCTTATGCTTCAAACTGCACGACATCTTGTCAACTGCTAGCCCGCTCGGGCACTGGCAGGAAGAAACAGTTGCTTTCATGGGACTTACTTCTGAGTAGACCTGGTTACAATGCTCCTGTTAGTCACCCTAACCCCTAGTTTCTTGCATGAATAAATTAGGCTTTAAGTTGTGGCTTAATTCATTTTTACCATTTATTCATTCCACAGCCCTGATGCCGAATTCAAAACTCTGACAAGCAAGTGGCCAGCTGTCTGGGTGAAGATCTCCTCCAGCTGGGTTTGTCTCCTCCTCTATCTCTGGACCTTAGTGGCACCTCTTGTCCTTCCTAATCGGGACTTCAATTAAACGATAATTTCTCTGAAAGCATAGAAACATGAAGTTCCTCTCTGCTGAAAGCCAAATGGTCTGTATCGCTTCTTGGAGCCAAGGCTCCAGCCATCTCTCCTGCAACATATACAAATGAATAGAAAGCTGCTAACTTGTATAATGCTTGATGCAAAAATCTAAGCTCTGTACATTTTGATATGTTTAAATGAAAGCTAGCTTTACCATTAGTCTACTACAGCTGTGCTGTTTGATACCGTAAAAAAGCCAGTAGTATAAACAACCGAGTTGAAAGAAAAATGGCTTGAGCTTAAAGTAATATATTTTAAAGTTATTCTAATGCTTCAGTATATGGAAGTGAAAGCCATACTGCAGGTGTACATTCCACTTCAAGAAAACATGTTTAATGGTGTTTTAACATACAGAATCTGTTTTTCTCAATGGAGCAGCATGCTATGTAGTATGGGAAGTTCAAATGAGCAATTTTTGGATCACTGTAGAAGACCAATTTTATAGAAAAGTTCTACTGAACTTTAGTATTTGTCAGTTAATTCCAAATGAAGTATCTACTATGCTTTAATTAAATTATATTAAAATAATTTGAAGTGCTTTTTTGTCTAATATTTGCGATGTGAGTAAAAGCCAGTGCATTGTTTTGTCAATCTTGGCATTTGCACTATAAACACGTTTGATTAAAATTACCTGTTCAGTGTCTCTTTATTTTGGGCAGAGGTATGAAAAATCCTGTATATCTTTTCAAACCACAGTTCAGAGAAATCAATTCATGTCTGGAAATTGGGGTAATGAGCACCACAGAATGGAAGATCAGTTGTTCTCTCTCTGAGCTGCTTTTTAAAAAATTAATCCAACCCCCCCCCCCCCCCACTTCACATACCTTGATGGCTTTAGAAGGTAGTCAAATCCCATTGAGTTACTGATACACTTGGAATTTAAAATGGACTTAACAAGGAAGCAAATACTGTCTTGAAATAATGATGAAAATAATGAAATATTGTCTTAAGGTAGATGGTTTAATATCAACTCATGCATAAAGTTACAATTAAACTATTCCTTTTATAAAATGCAATATAAAAATAAATTCTCACAGGTGTATACTGTAACCAAACACCTGACTTCTACATACAGCAAAAGGCAAAACAAATACTGAAACAATTTACTTAGCAAAATGCCAAAACTGACTGACGGAACAGTAGAAACAAAGCACCTCAACTACTATTCTGGAAAAAACCTCAAAAATTTTAATAGTGCCTGTCAAGCCCACTGTATAAATTCAAGTATCTTTCATTTTCTGTTAGACTTAAAGGCAATTTGACAGTTGTGGTAGGTTACCAATGTCTCTTTCTTAAGGCCTGGTACTGTTTCAATACGACCAAATAATTTCTTAAATAATGGTTGAGGATACATTAGATATATTAGCTGCTAATATCTCTACTTGAAAAATTAGTGTATTAGTATAAACATAATACCTGAACTTTCTGTAACACTATACTAGCTGTTTAATTTGCCCCAAACTTAGAGGGACAGTTTAAATTAAAAGATGAGTTTAGATCTTTTTCTGCACAATAATGAACTTCATCATTCAGTATCACGTGTTTTCACACTTCTTACATGCACAGGAGCTACCTGTGACTGCCAGAAGAAATATTTACACCTAGTATATCCATTTCAGAACACTTGTAAAAAGCTTTGAGTAATAATAATAAAACCTGTTTCAAATGCCTATGATGGCCTATTTTGATAACATACCACATAGTATAATCAATGGGGCCTCTAGTTCAAGCACACAAAATTGCTTCATCTTTTGGCAATACAGAGGCAGATGGTTATGCTTTTTTTTTTTTTTTTAAATGTGAGGGGAAATACAAGTTTGGCACTGACAATACAAAAAGTCCACCAGCTGAAAACCTTATATTTACAATCAGCACCAGTTTCTGGTCTGTAGTTGGCACTAAGTAAAAGCCTCCGCAAATAGCTCCAACCATCTAGTTGAAAGTGCTAAAAGATGAGGTGGTAATAAGTGTTGACCTGTCTCCCTCTAAACATGAAACAGCAGTCAATTCAATCTCCACAAAGGTTTCAGGCTGAAGTGCTGGATGTCACAAATATCTAAGTTAATCTACAACTCAAGACTATGAAAGAAGAGGAAGTTGCGTACATAGCTAAGACCAAACACACATGAGATAAGCCACAAATAAAAGGAAGACATAAAGCACTAATGCACATTAACAAGGACAACCATGAAGGACGGCGGAAAGTGACCTTTGTAAAAGGAAGCCAATTTAGCACTGAGGTCCAACTGATAACATCCCCCCCCTCCACACACACACTGAACGGAAAATAGTTACATTTACAAAACAGAAATTGTGCTTGTAAAATACCCTGTCCATTTGGTTTACAGAGACTCAGAAATAAACACGTCTAAACTAGCATCCTTGTTTTGCTGGACAGACATCTACAACTATGACAGTTTCCGAATTACACCCCCAAGACCTATGGTAATAGAATTCTATAACTAAGGCAGGGTATTAACTGGCAGCTAAGCTAATAAGCAGAATTACCTGTCCCTTTCAGTTGGTCCTGGTACAAATTCAAGTATGGGCATAAAAACGGTGTACAGATTCTTTAATGCTCTATTAGGCAGAGTGAACATGTGCTTTCATTGATTTCAGTGGTTTTAATGATACCCACTGCATTTGCAAACCTTGTCTGCAAGATTCAAGTCTAAGGTTTGCATCTCAGTGGCAACACACTCCCTACAAGAGAAGAGAATATGCTTATATGTGGAAATAACTGAATAATGATAGCGATAATCAGAGCATGTCAAACCAAAGTGTATCAGAATGGCAGCCCAACATTTACTCCTAGAAACTAGCCTGCCGTAAAACAGCTACCATTATATCACACAACCAATATTATTTCTTACTTCTCTAGGGAAAGTCAGTACTGTATAATGCATTATGACACTTCCGCTTTGTCAAAACTGTTGGCCATTTTAGCTCTTTTCAGCCTGAGAAAGTCTAGCACTTTGACCCTAAACTTGCTCATTTGGAAGCAGGTCTCATTCATTTCAGAGCAACTTACTTCCAAATAACTGTGCTTAAAACCTTGGCGTTTGCAACGTTCCTTAAGTCATGTGACACATTTAATCTTAGGAGATGCTGCTGTTTGCAAAGGGTCAAGAAACCGCAACGTTTACAGTGCCTCCAAACTGCACCCTTCTCCTGGATTGCGGTAGAACTTCACCTTTCTCCATGGCTTCCCCTTTTTAATTTGCTTTGGTTCCAATGTAAAGTGCCTCCCTCAGCTGTCTTTACCCCTAGGCTACAGTCTACCTAAGAACAAGGCAGAGTTCATAATCCCTTTGTAAACAGGAAGGTGACCTTTTGGAAGCTTTAACTGCTATGTTAATAGCAGGAATAGAGTTGCGTTTTCAAGCTTCGCAAAGAGTCATCACATTGCTTCTCATCAATCTCCCCAGTCAATAGTGGGTCAAGAGGAGAAGAGTCATTGGAGGGAGCCAGAAGAGAAGCATCATACAGGAAGTCATCCTCTGAGGCCAGCAGCAGCTCATTCCAGGCAGAGATATCCAGTTTCCCCGCAGTGCCCCCATATTCTTCAGGTAGGATCCATGGGGGAAGGTTGTGGTGAAGAGAGCTCAAGTCTGACCCATGAAGAAAAAACTGAAAAAGAAAAACCCAGAAGTTTCAACAACACGGGTTCAGTATTCTTGAAATAATAATGTAACACTCTGATATAGTATTCTTGAAATAATAATGTGATACCTCGATTTCAAGAAATTCAAGTATAATTCACATTGTGTATCCAAACAACTGTGGCAACAAGAGACCAGGCTGATCCTAATATTAAATTGTGACCCACCCTGGGGCCTGCTGGTGAATGGCAGGAAACAAATTTACCACATTGAGCTCCCGTTGTTTGGTCCCTGTTCCTGCCCACCTAGCAGTTCGAAAGCCCATCAAAGTGCAAGTAGATAAATAGGTACTGCTCCGGTGAGAAGGTAAATTTTGTTTCCGTGGGCTGCTCTGTTTTGCCAGAAGTGGCTTAGTCATGCTGGCCACATGACCTGGAAGCTGTCTGTGGATAAACGCCGGTTCCCTCAGCCTATAGAGCAAGATGAGCGCGTAACCCCCGAGTCGTCCACGACTGGACCTAACAGTCAGGGGTACCTTTACCTTTACCCACCTGGTTGCAACAGCCACTACTCCTCTGCCATTGTAAGCTGTGCAAGATGAGAGAAGATAAGAGGAGGCCCCTTCCAGCTATGCCAAGTAGAATTTCATCGGTCACAATTACACTACAGATATATGCAACTTGCTAGTCTGACCTCTATGAATGAACAACAGCCTGTCTGCAACATTAGCCACTTTCGTTGCGTCTTTTGGACTGTAAGCCTTTGGGGCAAGGGTTGTCTTGTGTTTACTGATGTTATGTAAGCTGCTCTGGCAGCATTTTCAGCTGACAAGCAAGATTAAAATGCTTTAAATGAATGAATAAATAAAAATAGCCACTTACCCGATTTGCTATTTTCTCTTTCAGAAAGGGTTTGATGATGGCAAAAATGCCCTTGAATATTCGAGGTTCATTTATAATATTGACAGCTTTTATTCTAATAGGAAAGCCATCCTAAAAAAACAACAACACAATACCAGTCAGGTTTATAAATACTGGTTACTTTATGAATAGCTTTTACCAGTTTTCAAAAACACACATTTAATTTACTGATGTATGAACTCACAATGGAACAAAAATAGCTCCTTACAAAAGATCTGTAGGCAGCAGGCACATTTGTGAAGATTCAATTTTTTTTATTTTTATATATGTTTGTGAAGATTATAGAACAAATGTGTGCTGTTCATTCTTCCCACCACAAGGTAACACTTTAAAGTACACACACGTCTTATCCAAGGTGAAATATAATATTTTAAGAGAAGATACCAATTACACAAACCTTCATAAGGATCTCTTATAATTAAAATCCAGGTTTCTTTCAATTGAAAATGAAGACTGTTTCAAAGATAAACTATGCTCACAAAAATATTCCACTCCTTTGTTGAAACCCACCCAATTCCATAAGCAGCTGTGTCAAGTGAAATGGCTTTTAATATTTGTTGGTTATATAATTATTTTTCCCCTTTATAAATTCAGATCTTACCTGAAGAATTCCAATCACTTTTTTGCCTATAAAGGGACCAAAATGAGATGCCTTAGACAAGCTGACTCCTTTGTAGTCTGCAAGGATAACAATTCCATTCACCTGGGTCTCTTCAGACTGAATGAGTTTTTCTAATGTTAAGTATATGGCACGAATATTTTCAGTAATTGGGTAGTTACTTGGGATCCATCTGTCTACGGTCATAAGACAGAGATGATAAGTTGCAAAGCTGAATAAACCAACAGTACATTTCAAAATTGAATTTTCTATTTGTCTTATAATGGTTAGTCATCCTTTAACAGTCTCTGTACTAATTCACATTAGTTCTTCATTAAATAAAACCCGCAGATGCTTCAAGAAGCTGATCTTTTTGTATGCTTTGTGCTTGGACTTCTGGAGCAAAACAGGGCGTATATTTAAGGACAGGTGATGTTCATTTTCCTTGGGGGAAAATGATGTATTATTCAGTATGGGAAAAGGAAGAACAGTATGGGTAGAACAAAATATCAAGGATGTATAACAATAAAGATTTTAATGCTCCAACCTATTTCAAAATACAGTTTTTGATTATTCAGTAGGTTATACAGCAGCCTCAAGAACAAAAATGTGCACTTTTTTAAGTGCCTCTCTTAAAGAAATGTGTTTCAAAACACCATGTGTTAAAATATTTATGTTTGTGTATCCTCATGATTTCATCTCTCTCCCACCCACCCCATTACCATTAATGGTATTTTTTGATTTCTCAAATTCCATGCAAACAATTTTAAAATAAAAATGTAATACTGAGTGACTAGAGATACTAGAGCGAGTAATAAGACAAACTTAATATCTACATGCCCACTGCTGACTTTTGTGGATATCTACTTATATCCCTCTCAATATTAAAGGAGAAAAGTGAGTTTGAGCCATGGGGCAAGGGGGTAAGACATTTTATTATTTATATCATTTGTCTTTTGCATAAAGTTTATACACAGCTTGTGTGTAAAAAAACAAAAAAACCTCAAAACAGCTTACAAAAAGATAAAACAATAAAATCAAGAACAATTCACAACTATAATTTAAAACACACAAAAGTTAAAATACTTAAACAGATTAAAATTATTTCGACTAGGTTTATCTAAACAAGAATGTTTTTTGTAGGTACCCAAAAGAGCACAGTGAAGGTGCCTGCTTGATCTCAACAGGCAGGGAGTTCTAAAATTGCTTGCCTGGTTTTCTCTCTCTGGGCTGTCACCATGCATGGTGTTGGCCAAAGGTTAGGACAAGATGACTGGAGGTTTAAATTACTAAGAGGCCAAATTGTCAGCCTCGATCCATAAAACTGTTGTCACCACATCTTTTCTCCTATGTCAATGAATTGGACCCAAAACATAACAGCAGTAGATTAACCAATCAGGGACAAATAAATCCCAGCTACTTTCTTCAGCAGTACACTGTCCAAACCATTCCATTAGAGATCAAAAATATCATACTCCTTTATGGTCTGTTTAAGGCAGGCCTACTCAAAATCGAGTTTCTTTCAAAGATATGTCTGCACCAGTGTTTTAGCTCACAACTGTAATTTGAAATATTTTTGGTGATTTCCTCAATGATAATATATGCCTGAAAATACTATATGTATGTACTGAGGATGTTTGTTTTTGTTAGCTCATATATTATGTTACAACATACTATATTAGCATTGAAAACATATTCTGTCTCCTATGTACAATTCAGATTTAAGTAACAATTTAAAGTGTTACTTTAAAAGACTGGTGTAACAAGAAGAAAAAGTAAATATTTATGGAAAGCCAGGAAGGAACAAAAGGAAATGTAGGATTTTAGTCCTCTAGAAATTATATAAGTACAAGAAATAACAACAACAACATCCCATCTCCTCATACAGAAATTACAGATAAAAAAATGTGTTCTGAAAACTGAACTCCCTGAAGTACGTGAATTAATGATACAGTTCTCAAGTCATTAACTGCATTTCACTGGATTATGCAGTAATATTAGTAATAGGGGAAAGAAAGCATAAGCATTAAATGAAATATTTGTATCTTTCTTAAAAATACGAATTTGGTAGCAAGTCACAAGAAGCAATCCTAAACAGTTAACCAAAGGCAGGAGGGAGAAGTATTAAAAAAAATACCTGGGCGAATGCAAACAACATGGCGTCCTTCAGTATCTAAGTGAGAAAGCACAGTGACAAAACCAGACTCTAAGGCAGGCTTTATAGCAGACGGTTTCAGGTTAGTAAAAACCTCAGGCCAACTCCTCCTACAGCAGTGATAGTTCACAAGGAGCTGAAGTGCCCGATCATAATCAAACTTCCGGGCTCTAAGGAACCTGAGCAAGAAAGCGTCATCTAAACATGTTCCCAGGTTAGGATAGTCTTTGCACACCATGTCTCTGAGGGCTTGAACATCTCGAAGCCGCCACTCGGGTTTTTCCTGCAGCTCTTCACGTGCCTTGGCGACAAGCTCAGCGGACAATGAGCACACATACTTTGGCTGATCTGGCAGGACCTCAATCTCTGACAGAGATCCCACAGAGGGACTTGGAATGGTGCCATCACCATTTCCTGACATTGGTTAGTGGGAAAATCTGCAAGGAAGATAAAAAACAACAACACAATACTATGAACAAACAGCATCTAGGAAAAGTGGTCGGAAGCGTCTACCTAGTCTTCCATATAAGTCTTAAGAATTCCAAAATAAAACACCCATTTATTGGTTCTATTTGGGCTTAAGAATCACTCTTGAAAGATTCTTTAGTCAGCTCTGATTTAGAGCAATGTTTGTACAGGAATTGCTCCACCTACCCCATTGCTTATGACAAGATACTGTTAGATATCACCTACCACTTAAATTTGCATATAAGATTTCATTTCAGCTTCAAGGGGAAGGGTGCTTTTCCACTAAGAGCTGCAATATTCTGAAAGCGATGCAGAACTAAGTTTGCACGAATGGTAAGCCAAACTACTGCTTAATGCAAACACATGAGCATGTGAACTCTTGGAGAGGAGACTGTGGCCTCAAGTCTCTTCCTCAAGAGTGTTATAGGAACCTAAGCTCATAGTTTGTCTCATTCAGACAAAGGATGAGCTGTAATCTTGTTCTTGGTTTACAATTCGTAAGAACACAAGAAGAGCCTGCTGGATGAGGCCATCTAGTCCTGTTTTCACAGTAACCGACCAGATGCCTATGGGAAGCCCACAAGAAAGACCTGAGCGTAGCACAACATATTCTTCTCATGGTTCATCTGGAGTGAGACAAAATATGAGCCTGGGTTCGGACAACACATTAAACCAAACATCCCTGATGCAAGAGAGAAAGGGAAAGCATGTGCTATTTAAGAGCAGTATCCAACTATTAGTATCATGCCAAAATTTATAGGCAAATCTATTGTTATTGTTCTGGGGACCAAAGCTGTAACTATTCCTTGATAATGTGAAGTGTTAAAACTTGTCAAACCTAAGGTTATGAGCTGACAGGGGGAAAGACAGGTGAGGACAAAGGCAGAATTACAACTGCATGTTACAACAGTCCGTCATAAAAACACAAGACAAGCCCTGCTGGAAGAAACCAAAGGTACATCTAGTCCATTATCCTGTTTTTCATAGTAGCCAACCAGGCATTTCCTAGAAGCCCATAAGCAAGGGCATGCAGGCAGCAACCCTCCCACACTGAATCCCAGAATCCAGGAGTCAAACAGAGCTATGCTTCCACCAAGCATTTAGGTGCCATATACCCACCATAACTCACAGTGAATGACAGGTGTTTTCCAGCCCATTAATCTGACTAGCTGCATATATCTAAAGCACTTGCACCTTAAAGAATCTGGGAACTGTAGCTCTCTGAGGGGTAAAAAACTACAGCCCCTGATATTCTTTTTCTTGGGGTGGGTAGGTGTTGCTGCTTTAGACCGCCACTTTCTTTGAATGCACATGACTCCTCCCAATTTCGTACACATCAGGTTAGATCCAGACCAGGGCTGGATTTAGGATTGATGAGGCCCTAAGCTACTGAAGGTAATGGGGCCCTTTATATGTCCAGCTGTCCTTTGTCAACAACAAATTGTCACTGTTTTTGTGTGTTGAATATATGCTATATGGTAATTTATGGACCTAATAGGTCCATACATAACACAAAACACTGTTGCTGTATGTAGGTTTTATTTTATTTGTTTTTTATCTTCTATTTTGGAAATGTACATGCAGGTTTTTCCCCCTTTAATTTTTTTGGGGCCCCCAAGAGAGTGGGGCCCTAAGCTATAGCTTGTTTAGCTTGTATGTAAATCTGGCACTAGATGTATGGCGTGCCCACCGCCACCTTCTCTGAAAGCACATCTCTCCTCGCAATTTCATACAAATCAGGCTGGATCCAGGCCACGCCAGCCGCACTTCCGATCCCACCGAAGGCAAAATGAAGCGAAGAGAGACTCCCAAGCCCCATATGCATAGCTGTCAACGTTTCCCTTTTTTAAAGGGAAAATCCCTTATTCCGTCCCCCCCCCATACTTTTTATTGCTTTTTTTGTAACAACAACCAATAAAATAAATACTCTTACATTCAAAAATTTGTATGTCTTCTTATTTACCCTGCGCCTTATTGCGCCCGGACTTCCTTCCATCCCTTCAACGGTTTTCATGTCTCAAATCTTTTCTTATTTACACTCCATTCACATCACAAGATTTACATTAACCCTGCTACAGTTTTTAAATTCTTACAATTACTCCGTATACATTCAACAAATTTACTCCAATCCTTTCCGAACTTTGCTTCTTTTTGGCTCCGAATCTTATAAAATCAATTTCGCCAATTCTATGTATTCAAACATTTTTGTCTGCCACTCCATTAAAGTTGGGATTTCTTGGAAAATCCCTTATTCCGAATAGGATTCCTCGCAAGAAAAGGGAAAAGTTGGCAGCTATGCCCATACGTTTCAATGGAACTAACGAACGTGACCCAGGTAATTGGCTGGATCCGGGCTGGTTACTCGTCTTGAATCGCCTGCCAGTTTCGCAGGGCGGCCTTTCCCCCGCCCCTTGAGCCCCATAAGGGAAGAAAAATTCTCCCTCCTCACGAGTAACCTTAGGAAGCCTCCAGTTCCCTGGGAAACCGCGCGCGGCTTTTGCCGAAGCGACGTCCAGGAGGCAGCCCAAGTCCTCGGCTGGAGCCCCGCCACCGCCCGCCAGGCCTCCCCGGGCTCCCACCTCAGGAGGGGCAGCCGGAAAGCAGACGCCGACACCTCCCGCCCTCCCGCTCTCCGGTCTCCCCGTCCCCTCACCGCAGCTCCAGCTCCACTGGAAACTGAAGGGACACTTTCCAGGAAGAAAACCCGCTCGCGACCCGGAAGCACTCGCGTGACATCACAAACCTCGGCCCGCCTTGAATGAACCTAAGAACGCGCGGGTGGGCGGAGGGTAAATTAGGTGTGTGACTGGGCATGCGCGGAATTCCTGGAAGGCGGCGCAGTTGCGGAGCAAAGGGCCGCAGTCTGTTGGTTCGGAGCCGTAATTCCGGTTCCCGATGTATGTCAGGGCTTAGAATCCACCTTGCGCGGGGTCAGGGAGGGTAGAGGAAAGGACGGGAATCCAAGCTCTAATAAGGTAGAGTTAAAGAGGTAGGGTTTTGTCTTTTTTTTTTTAAAAAAAGGATCGCAATCGCTTTGAAATGACCCTGCTTTCTATCTATTTATCATTTTTCAAAATTTTATTTATTTTTATTTTATTTATTCTTATTTATTTTTATTTTTATTTCAAAAAAAGCAGAAAAAGAAACTGGCCAAAGGGCAATTCAGGAAAGACTCCTCCAGGGCACTTTTAGTGTGTTTGCTCGTCTTTGTACTTCGCACCTTTAAAAAGTTAATTTAAGGGCAGGGTTAGATATGTTGTCCGGATTCTGTGGCAGGGCTTTGAAACATGACCTAAGGCTTTTAATGTAATCGTGCAATATGCTTGGACTCATAGGTGTTAGGCAAAAGGAAGCTTCTCTTCTTACATTAAGGCTCAGTGCTTGTTTTCATTACCCCATAAATCATTCTTCTCCAACCCAGTTGTTTTGGACCACAACCCCAGAACATCTGGCCCATCAGATTGTGGGGTGAAACATCTGAAGTCAGTGGAAGACCTACAATTTTGGGTCCCTGAAGCATGGGCGTAGCCAGGATTTATGTTGGGGTGGGGGCAGAACCTCAATTAATTAAGTATTTTTATTTATTTATTTACTTGACCCCCTTGGCAACGCCCATGCCCTGAAGCTTGAACTGTTATAGGGGGGCCTTCGCAACCAGCAACAAGGTCTGAGCAGCCACTGTTATCTTCAATGGGGCTGTCCCATGTCGTGTCACCACAATTTATTTCTTTTTTAAATTAACTACTACATTTCAGATTGTATTGGATTACCTCATATTACATGAAGCACATTTTACAAAATACTCTTTTTCTGGTTTTTCCTAGCAACATATTCAAGTACAGTTTCATCATATGAGAGCTTTCCTGCGATGTCATTTTCTAGAGACAATATACATAAAGAATTTAAGCACTCTTTAGCAGAACAGCCAACTTACCGTGACATCCCACCTTTGCAACATCTGTGCTACTGACTCTCAAACATCGGGGTTGTTGAATTATATACAACCAAAAAATAATCAGTTTGATTTTGTTAAGTGATGTGGACAGTGGATTAAGGGCCTTGAAGCTTAAGCTTCCTTAGATAGGGCTGCCATGCATCCGGAATTTCCCGGACATAGATGGTATTTTGCTGCCGGAAACAGTGTCTGGGTGGAAATTGCAGAAAATGTCTGGGAAAATCTGGACCTGTTGTAAGTGTAGATTTTGCCCTCCCCCCCTTCCTAAAAGAAGCAGCAGCTCAACAATTTCCTCCTCCAAAAAAAGGGAAAAAATCTCAACAACTTTTGTGTCCAGATTTTCACTTTTTGAAACATGGCAATCCTACCTTAGTTCCATACAGTCATACCTCGGGTTGCGAATGTGATCCGTGTGGGAAGCAACCTGCAGCACTGCATCTGTGCATGCACGTGATGCAATTCGGCGCTTCTGCGCATGCGTGTGACGTCATTTTGTGTTTCTGCGCATGTGCGAGCGCTGAAACCCAGAAGTAATCCGTTCCGGTACTTCCAGGTCCGCAACCCAAAAATGCGCAACATGCAGCGTTTGCAGCCCGAGGTATGATGGTAGTAGATTCAGCCCTGTCTGGAGAGCATCATGGGTGGCAACGCCAGCTGTAATCTGTTCCAGTTAGTTCACTTAAAACATTTGACCAGCAGAGGGTGCCAAATGCACGTCACAAATTGAAGCAGGGCTGCAAATGCGTACAATTCTCATACAGTATACAGTGGTACCTTGGGTTAAGTACTTAATTCGTTCCGGAGGTCCGTTCTTAACCTGAAACTGTTCTTAACCTGAAGCACCACTTTAGCTAATGGGGCCTCCTGCTGCCGCCACACGATTTCTGTTCTCATCCTGAAGCAAAGTTCTTAACCCAAGGTACTATTTCTGGGTTAGCGGAGTCTGTAACCTGAAGCATATGCAACCTGAAGCGTATGTAACCCGAGGTACCACTGTAGACTTACTTCTTCCTGTAGGATAGATTTAAATTCGCTTTTAGGCTCATCCCAAAATACTGAATGAATGACACCATAATGGCAGGCCTAGAAGTAACCCAGAGGCCTGAAGAGCATAACGTAAAAATGGTGTTTAGTAGAGCTGGCCGATCCTCCGTTTCGTTGTCTGTAACCGGTATGGCGTTCACATCACGATAACCGGTTTCAGACTTTTTGAGCTGCCGATACACTGCGGCTCCCCAGCTGCTGCCAGCTCAGCGCACTTCCTTCTCCCTGCCTGCCTGCACTGTGATGGCGGCAGACAGGCAGCTGCAATGTATCGGCAGCTCAATTCACCTTCGTCCAAGCAGGCAGGCTGCATCTTTCCTCTTGGGGCGGTCGGCCACTCCAGGAGGAAAGAAGCAGCCCACCCAACAGATGCATGGAGAACATGCTTTTCAGGCTCTGTGGCTTGACTGTCGCCTGCTTGCCTTCACCCGGGAGGAAAGACTGCATCTTTCCGCCCAGAGCACCTGACCGCCCCAGAAGGAAAGTTGAAGCCTGCCTGCTTAGGCAAAGGCAGACACCTTTGAGGGAGGCCTGATGCATTTCCGGCTGGACGGGTGTCAAAGCATCCTTGAAACGCTCAGCTGAGGAGAGGGAAGCCTCTCGCCCCCCAGCTGAGCGAAGTTCTGGTGCTGTGCTCCCCTGCATTCACTTGGCAGGGAATCGTAGAATGGCAGAACTGGAAAGGGCCACGAGGGCAATTTAGTCCAACAATGCAGGAATATTTTTTTGCTCAGTGTGGGGCTCGAACCCAGAACCATGAGAATAAGAGCCCTGTGCTCTACCAGCTGAGCTATAGAAGATATTTGATGGGAGGGGGAAAACTGGCGAGATCCAGATTGATTGTTGTGGGGGTACTTTGTGATTTTTAAAAGGAGGACTCTCAGATACACACAAACACACACACACACGCACTTTGCAAGGCATGCTACAGGAGAGGGGTCTTAACTGTGTTTGATGAATGCAGTGGTTACGGAATACAGCGGTACCTCAGGTTACATATGCTTAAGGTAACAGACTCCGCTAACCCAGAAATAGTGCTTCAGGTTAAGAACTTTGCTTCAGGAGGAGAACAGAAATTGTGCTCCGGTGGCGCGGCGACAGCAGGAGGCCCCATTAGCTAAAGTGGTGCTTCAGGTTAAGAACAATTTCAGGTTAAGTACGGACCTCCAGAACGAATTAAGTACTTAACCTGAGGTACCACTATATAGAGGGCAGAAATGCGATTGTGTGTATGTGATGGCAAACTTTTTTTTGTGGCAGCAGGTCAGCAGCACTGAGCGCTGGGGGAGAGAGTCCTTTTTGGGAGTCCTCCTGATGTTCCCCGAAGGAGCAATGTGCATGATGGTCGTCTGCTAATCACACATTGACTTGTGAACCTTCTGAGTCAGCAGCCAGCAGCTCTGCTTAGTGTGGTGTGGCAAATGGTGTCCTTGAGGTCTTCTGATGCTGCCATGGAAAACAGACAGGATCCCAAACGTTTCCAAAACATGGCAGCAGCACTCTGCAGTTTCAGACTCCTTCACTGACCGCAAAAAGTAATCATAAACACCAGGACAGAACTGAAGCCTGACTCCGCAGAAGCGCCACCGCCTCCTCTTAAATAAACAGGAGCATTAATGGGGTTTGGCTGAGTTGCTTTGATTAATTTTTGAACTCAGGCAGACGATTTGGACTTTTTCCTTGGGTGAAATTTTATCACCAAGGTCAGCTTTCTTATATATAAAAAACCCCCTCAAAATATACTTGTAAATACATTCAAATGATCTTCTGTCTGGTCCCAAAGTAATCACATTTCATTCCATCAGTAAAGACATCCTGTTAAAACATCCATAAAACGTTCAATTACTTTAAACAGATTTGTTTTCTTTTTCCCTGCCACCAAGGTAAATTCAAGCATCTGAACACAATCCATTTTAATCCATGGGGCTTGAAAACCTGGGTGTGCACATTTTAGGAGAGGCAAGCCAGTCGTTGGTGTGTTCAGCATCATAATTTGCATACCTGATACCCACAAATCACATACAGAATGTGCCAGTCCCCTTGCCAGTTCCCATTTATTGATTATTAACATTAAATCTGCTGTCAGTCCTTTCACCTACAGCTCTCAGGTCAGCTTACAACAATTTAAAATTCAGAATCAAAAAGCATTTAAAACAGATTAGTCACAGAAATGGAGTGGCCCTTTTTATTTATCATGGTTGTTTATTTCATTTATGGATTGCCTGCAATAAGGCATCCCAAAGTGATTTACGATACAATAAAAGTGTGCAGGTCACAATTGCACGTACAAAACCACTGGGCAATCTCCAGTGCACTTGTGCCGTTCGCTTGAGGATTTATACTTGTGCAACAGAACTTCCCCTCACCACTCTCCTCCCTTTGCGCCTGCCCCAAATCTGCTCTGGAGGAGGGAGGAAGCCCAGAACAGATTTATGGGGTGTATCGTATGTGGAGACCAGGGAAAGCTCCTGTGAGCAAGCGTGACTTCTTCCACTAACAGAAAGAATAATAGATTTAAAGTCTCGTGCTCTACCAATTGAGCTATTCCAACTGAGCAAGGGTTACCTAGCGCTCCATTATTTACAACCCAATTAGAATATTTGCATAAATAAGTGTGTGTGTGTATCTGTAGCGCATTTACAACACCACCACCACCACACATATAAAATCAATTTTTTTATATATATATAATTTTTTATTAAAGTTTTAAACAACAAAAGAAAGAAAAACAACACACATGAAAAACAGTACAAAACTCAACAATAAAAACACAAAGCATAACAATTAAAAACAAACTCTCTTTTCCATTTCCAATTTTAAATTACTTATTTTCTGGACTTCCTCATACCTCCCTCTTTTGTATTCCAATCCACATTATTTGTCCAGCAGTTTCTTTTCCACTTTTTTATCCCAATCTTTAATTTAATAAAATGTTAAAATATATAACTTCAACTTTTTTTTTTAAACCTAATCCTTGATCTTAATATCATATAACTTTAAAATTTTCCCTTTTAATATCAAATTTCCATTTCTTTAAACATCTTTTATCTTGATCTTCAATCTTAATCTATCATTAACTTTAACCTGTGCAGCTGGAAACCGCTTACTTTCAGTCCAACATCCCTTTAACATTCCTTAATTTTACAATGTTTCTGAAGATAGTCTTTGAATTTCTTCCAGTCTTCCTCCACTGACTCTTCTCCCTGGTCACGGATTCTACCAGTCATTTCCGCCAATTCCATATAGTCCATAAGTTTCATCTGCCATTCCTCCAGCGTGGGAAGTTCTTGTGTCTTCCAATACTTTGCGATGAGTATTCTTGCTGCTGTTGTTGCATACATAAAGAAAGTTCTATCCTTATTTATCACCATTTGGCCGACTATGCCCAGGAGAAAGGCCTCTGGTTTCTTAGGAAAGGTATACTTAAATACCTTTTTTAATTCATTATATATCATTTCCCAGAAAGCCTTAATCTTTGGGCACGTCCACCAAAGGTGAAAAAATGTACCTTCAGTTTCTTTACATTTCCAACATTTGTTATCGGGCAAGTGATAGATTTTCGCAAGCTTGACTGGGGTTATGTACCACCTGTATATCATTTTCATAATATTCTCTCTTAAGGCATTACATGCCGTAAATTTCATACCAGTGGTCCATAACTGTTCCCAGTCAGCAAACATAATGTTATGTCCAACGTCCTGTGCCCATTTAATCATAGCCGATTTTACCGTTTCATCTTGAGTATTCCATTTCAGCAGCAAGTTATACATTCTTGACAAATTCTTAGTCTTGGGTTCTAGCAATTCTGTTTCTAATTTGGATCTTTCCACCTGGAAGCCAATTTTCCTGTCCAATTTAAATACCTCCATTATCTGATAATAATGAAGCCAGTCTCGCACTTTGTTTTTTAGTTTTTCAAAACTCTGCAATTTCAGTCTATCTCCGTCTTGTTCCAAAATTTCCCAATATTTCGGCCATTTGACCTCCATATTGAGCTTTTTCAAGGCTTTCGCTTCCATTGGTGACAGCCACCTTGGGGTTTTGTTTTCTAACAAATCCTTATATCTTATCCAAACATTAAACAGCACTTTCCTGACAATATGGTTTTTAAATGCTTTATGTGCTTTGACCTTATCATACCATATCACACATATAAAATCAATTTAGTTCCAATACAAATGACGACTAGAACAATTCCTAGTTTCTTTTATTGGGCTAAGAATTGGCTAGTTCTCTCTCTCATTCCATCTGACAAAGTTTCATGAATTCAAAAGTCCATGTGCCACTTCATTTACCTGAGCCACCAGGCAGTACGGATGCTGTGATGATCGTAAATACAGAGCAAGGCTATAGACACACCACATGTTTAAAGTGCATTCTTCCACCCAAAGTATCATGGGAAATGTAATTTGTTAAGGGTGTTTGGAATTGTAGCTCTGTGGGTAAACTACAGTTTCCAGGATTTAGGGAGGTGCCTCAAAAGTATGGAATATTCAATACGAAATATTATAACGAGAATTATCTTAGTTACAGAAAACCCTGGAAGGCTGCCACCAAACTCAAGCCAATTCTGAGCCTCGACCTGCCCACCTTAGGAAACAAGAATCCAGGATTGGCCCCTTCGCTCTCTGCAATGCATGCTGATTATCTTTATTGCTGGACTTGTTATGTTTGTTCAGTTTTGAGATTAAATATCTTCCCCAGGCTTTCTCTGTTTGAAGATATGCCCAGCTTTCAAATCAACCACCTCCCTATGGTCGTAAAAGGTTTTATTGCTAATGGTGGAGAAGCTTTTGTTTTGTTTTTTAATGAAGAAATGAAAACCGAAGATAATTTTCCCAGGCTGAGAACCTGACGTGAGTCAAGAAGACCATTACATGGAGCCCATTAAATATAAACCAACTCTGGCTGCCCTTCGTTTACAGCGCCATTCATCCATATGTCCCAGGGCTGATGTACAGCTCAGAATGGTGAGCTATATTTTATAAAGGCCTGGCAAAGAACATGAGCGGGAAAGATTTAGAATGGGAAGCTCCCAGAATCACATCCATCCTGGCAGGTCATAAAACAGTGCTTTCAGCCCTAGCAAATGAATTTGGCACAACTGGAAAGATGGTTGTAGCTCAGTGGTGGAGCACATGTTCTGCATCCAAAAGGTCCTGGGGTTCAGTCCCTGGTCTTTCCATTTGAGGCTGGGGGAAATGGATGCCTGAAATGTAGGTAAGCCATTGCAAGTGAGTGTCAACAGTGCTCGGACTTGCTTTGCACACCAAGTGATCCATGCAGGGTGCAAGTGCCGGGAACTATAATGGCCCATAGACAAAGGGGCTATAATGAGCCATAGACAAGAGCATGGATTAAATAAGACCACAACTTTATTGGTAACAGCAGATCCCAGGTTAGGTGTGGCCCAGAGCAAGGATCTATCAATCGGGCGATTCGCCTGCTGCGATAACTGGAGGAGTTGGCAACAGTTTCTGGGGCTGAAAACAAAGCGTCCATCAACAGTAGCACTTCAATTGGGCATACACGAAACGTTGCCTATGTTGCCTGCAGTCTGAAGCAGTGCTAGAAACAGATATGAAAGCTAGGAGCTAAATCAATGGCACCTTAAACCTAAGTTATGGGTGCAGCAATGGAATGTCTAGGCGTGCTTTTTTATATACCGTATTTTTTGCTCTATAAGACTCACTTTTTCCCTCCTAAAAAGTAAGGGGAAATGTGTGTGCGTCTTATGGAGCGAATGCAGGCTGCACAGCTATCCCAGAAGCCAGAATAGCAAGAGGGATTGCTGCTTTCACTACGCAGCGATCCCTCTTGCTGTTCTGGCTTCTGAGATTCAGAATATATTTTTTCTTGTTTTCCTCCTCCAAAAACTAGGTGCGTCTTGTGGTCTGGGGCATCTTATAGAGCAAAAAATGCGGTATATAGCAAGAATTCAAAGCTGAAAATGAATGAACTGCAACTAATATATTAAGTCCATTTTTCACATGGTCTAGTCCAGGGCCGGATTTAGGTTTGATGAGGCCCTAAGCTACTGAAGGTAATGGGGCCCTTTATATGTCCAGCTGCCCTTTGTCAACAAAAAATTGTTGCTGTTTTTTGTGTTGAATATATGCTATATGGTAATTTATGGACCTAATAGATATCTAAAGCCATTTGCAGGTAACAAAATAATGTATTTTATCAAAATAATTGTTCAACTGAAATACAATTAAGAAGGAAGTATATTAATAGTGAAAATTTTTGAGGGCCCCCAAGAGAGTGGCGCCCTAAACTATAGCTTGTTTAGCTTATATGTAAATCCAGCACTGGTCCTACCCCTGCCCACCTCCCTAATATTTTTAAGAGGGTCTCTCTTCCAGTTTCCAGAGAGTAGCTGGAAGTGGGGAGGCAGAAAAAAGGTCCTCCTTTCCTTCCACTCTGCAGTTTTAATCTAAATCTTTGGCGCAGTACTGTGCCCAGAGCTCAGAAATTGCTCGCACTAACTAATTTCCCTGTCGCAAAATGCGCCTAGAACAATGGGAGTTTCGAACACTGGTCTGAAGTGATATAATTTATTCTACCTCATTCTGTTCCATTCTGTTCCACAGCCACAGTAAGGCTGTGTAGACACAATACA